TGATTTAATCACTTTTGAAATTCATTAGTTCGGACTTCCATTGTCTAATAATATATAAAATGATTTGAAATCCCTAAAAGAACCAATACAAAGTGAAAATTAAATGGAATAGCTGAAAGTAACCAATATTAACCAAAAAAACCCTGAAATAGAATTACAATGAAGTAAATACAAGTGAAAAAGTTATTTCGAAATGTTTCGATTATGGATACTAACAATCGAAATGTCGTGAAGAAGCATGGTTTGGAATCTTTTAATTTTTTTATTTTTCATTTTTATTTTTTATATTTTTTCATTGTTCTATTCTTTACTAGTATTTTATTTCACTGTAATTTTATTTCAGAGTTTTTTTGCTCAATATAATTGTTACTTCTAGCTATACTTTTTAATTTTTTAAATCTCAATTTGTATTTTTTTGTAATATTTCAAAGTATTAATAAAATTACTTAACTATAAAATACTTACAGAACTTTAGTTACGTCAGGTATATTGGTCAAACTGGCAGAACATTTAGGAATCGAACCCAGAAATATCATACGAGCTATGTAAATAAGAAAACAAATTCAACATATTCAAATCATCTTCTAGATGAAAATCATATCTTTAACGAAGCGTTTGAAATTTTGCATATATAAAATAAAGGTTTGAAACTGAATCATGTGGAAGCAATAGAAATTAATAAACTTAAAAATTCAAACATTCTAATGAATGACCAACTGGATTTGAATAGATCACCATTATTGAACTTGTTTTCTTAAAAACCGAGAAAAATTATTATTGATGTAGATGATCATGCTTCAGGTGATCATGAATGAACAGGTACCTTAGGTAGAGGTTTAGGTCAATTTTTGGAGGTCTTAGTTATGATTAACTGTAGTATATAAATATTAGTGTAAGAAGCAATTTGAAGTATTCAAATCACTTGATAAAGCTACTGTGTTAGCGAAACATGTTGTGATATATATTTTTTAAATAAAATTTGTAGAGATCAAATCGTGAGGTGTAGTTTATGAAAGTTGCGTTAGATATTGTCGATGGGATTTCTGCTGCATCTTATTACTTTCACTATCAAGTTTATTTCCTCCCTATGCGAAGATAATTAGGCAACTGATAAAAATGTGCTATATTTGATGTGTGTTGTAGAGAAAATATAGCTATGTTAATTGTACGAAAACTAGCCTTTTTTCATATGTCGGTACTCATGCCGTATTCATATTGTCTATTGCTTCCAGTTTATATATTTTGTATGATTTTTTCAATTTTCAAAAAGTTGATTTGTATTGAAGTTATTTCGCGTTGTTGTGTAAGAAGGATTTTTTTCCTATAGGAAGCGGTATTGATTAAAAAAATCGATGTGACTCAGCATTTCTCTGAATGGGTTTCATAAATGATTTTTTATAACAATTCGGTTACGTATGGGAAACACTATATATACCTTATAAGACAGAATAATGTGTGTGGAGGTGACAAGGTTTCCTCCTCAAAATAGATATCGATGATTTCCAGTGATCTATTTATTCAAAACTATGACAAATTGTCCTTATTTTGTTTTCATTGGCTTACCCTGTATTATTCGTATATTAGGGGTTGTTTTCGAACATGAAAAAATATGATATGATATTAATCACCTGACACTGCATATAAACAAACATACTGGACAATACCAGTGATTAAATACACTTGCTTTATGAACAATTCGACCACAAAGAATTCAGTAATTTGTAACAACGTAATTAATTATAGGGTCTTTATGATGGACTTAAAAAATAGCTCACAATCACTTCGAAACATTGCTTGAATAAATCACCTACTCGCTTGAATAAATCAACATCACCTTCAATTTCAAAGTCGTTTGTATTTTGAAACAGTCTAACTAGTTAATATCAGAGTGAGTTTGCGGAAGTTTCAGACAGTATATAAATTCACCGTTGCCAACTAATTTCTACAAAAACAAATTAAACAATTCCGTAAAATTGGGGAATACTGACTACCAAAAGCTTCTGAATAGCGGAGAACATTATCTAAATAACGTTAGGTGTTGATACAATGAAGCTTTCATAATTAATTAAAGCCCTAATTAAACTACGCGGGCGCTACGGTAATTAGGACCCTTATTAGGGATGAGCGGAACGGCTCTGCAGCGTCCCAACAATTTTAATTAGCACTGTGCAATTAATAATTAACAGCAATTCCTTGCACAAGCGCTTTTTAACTAAACTAATTCCGAATGGAACAACCAAGGTTTCTGTGAAAGATTTTGTGGAAAACTGGAATTAGAAGTGTTGGGTAAGGATTTTTGTGGAAAAATAATTTAGAGTTCAAGTAATAATTGAAAGTCGCAGTGATTGAGAAAAGAAATTGCTCAATTTCAGCTCAACGAATTTCAACGAGATAATATAATTTTTCCTGAAATTAATATTTATTTAAGCTTATGACCAGAGTAGTCGATGCCGTTGACACAAAAAAATTAAACACACCCCGTTGAAGCAAAGTTGTGATAGTATGATATAATAAGTATTTCAGACAATGATGTCTTCGAAAGTATTAATACTACATGTTGTGTTTGGCACATTTTTATAAATTCCTTCTATATTATTTTTATATCTATTTTGTATGGGTATGATCTATTGAAAACGCTACTGAGTTATAATAGCTATTCATGAAAACTTTTTCACTCACAAAACAAAACTTCATTTTTAACACAAATATCGTACAAAGTTTTTTGTACAACTGCCCTGTTTCCATAATAAAATAGATAAATTTAATATTTCAATGGAAACACATTTTAACATCTCTTATCAGTTAACTATTTTCATGTTATCGCATTTACTGTGAAGTGGCCGTGTCAGGTGACGCCGGATCACCTGGTTACCAACTAACAGTTTTGTTTACAGCTCACGCATTTTATTTAAAGTCATATTTAAAGTTCTTGCTGGTGTCTAATGTCTTGCATAATGAAGAACAATGTGAGGAATTGTTTGTTCCTAACGATATTGAACAGGCTGCAAAAATAACTTCAATTGAATTGTTACCAAAAAAATCGGTTCAGCAGTACGACATCGCAAATTCTAATTTTCTAAGCTGGTGTAGACACAATAAAAACGTCGAAGAAAATTTCAGCGAAACCGTCTTTTTAGCCTATCTAGAAGAGAAATCAAAAATATGGAACTTGTCAACTTTGTGGAGCAACTTTTCAATGATGAAGTCGAGTTCGCTCGTTGATAATTGTGTTAATACAAGCAAATATTTCAAGGTAATAGCATTCTCAAAGCGGAAAAATGTATATGCCCAAAAAATCGAAAACTCTTACGTTTGAAAAGTCCAGAGGTTTATAAATGAGGCGCCAGATAAAAAATATTTGATGATAAAAGTTGCTACTATTTTCGGAATATATGGAGACTGCCGGAGTGAAGAGCTGTGCCATTTATTAATAGAAGACATTAAATCAATGGATAAATAAATGATTGTACAAATTCCAAATACAAAAACGAAAATAAGTTGCATTGCTGGAAAAAACATTGACTATTTTAATAAATACGTTGCATTACACCCTTCTGTTATCAATCATCAAAGTTTTCTGAAATACTCAAATTATAAATGAAGGGCCAACCCAGTTGGTATAAACAAGTTTTTGAAAATGCCCTCTACCATTGCTGAGTTTCTGAACCTCCCGGAACCAAAGGAATATACAGGTCATTGTTACAGAAGGTCTTCTGCTTCTTTGCTATCAGAATCAGAAGCATCAGTTTACATTGATCAATCTATTTCTTATAAAAAGGCTATTTCTGAAAGAACAGCTAACTCCAGCGTTACGGCGTCGCCCTCTTCACTTCAAGAATTAAATGTTAATGCCCATGAAATTGTCAACTCAGCTAGTTCAAATATATTACAAGGCTCTTCAACATCGCAAAGTATTAATATCAGCAGTTGTTTTAATTGTATCAAACTGGAAGGAAAAACTATCTCGAAACAACTTATTTCATATGAACGTTGAATTATACAAAAAAAACCTTCTTCCATTCAGTTTTTACTCCAAATATTTATTAAGGAATCGAACCAGATATCTCTCACAGGAATGCTACAAGATATAGTAAATGAAAGAGATACAACTTTACTTCCATGGAACACTGTCATCCTCATTGGCGGACATCGATGTTTCGGAATGAGACAATTGTCTTATTGCCTCTTCAGCAACAATCTTCAAGATGAAGCACTCTATTCATTCATAACATTACACTTTATATCACGAATGAGTTGAATGTATTCACATCACAATAATAATACGTATTGACATTCATTCGTTACTTGATTCAATCCCAGCCATAGGAATCTTGTTTAAATTGAAGTGGGTTTATTTTAAGGAGAGAATAATTTTTGGCAAAGATAGGTTTTGGCTTTCTACTTCTCTATTATTATACAAAAAATGTGGGAAACTTCCAAAGGAATGAAGAAATAAATTACCCGCACAATACAGCAACTTCTCTAATTTCATTTATAAATAATCAATTCGAAGTACAATTTTTTTTCATTCATCACATATGGTGTCTCTCTGAACTTGGTAACGTATTTCCGGTAAACATGCTTATCCGGATTTTGACCATTAAAGAACCGTTCTGTAATATTAGCGCACTTATCGTTTTCATAATAGATTCCATTTATCTAAGTTAAATAAACATTAGTGGAGAAAATAAGTCGTAAATTACTAAGAGAAAATAAATGCTAGTGAATCCAGATAAATGGAATGTATATTATACAATACTTCCACTTTCAGAAAAGATAGCAAATACTGCGTTAATTTCTTATTGAATTCCAATTCATTCGAATATTACGTCCTGTTATTCTCAAATGTTTTCTTCAATATTTATTTCACTTTCCATTTCATTTTTTCCTCCATAGAAGAATGGAAGACACAATGGAAGAAACAGTCAATCCAGATTTTTTTTTTGTTGTCTTTCTTTCAGTCGATCAGAAATATTTATACCCTCTCTCTATTGTTTCAGGAGGCAAACAGCAGAAGAACGCGAGGCAGAGCGACAAGCTGCTAATAGACTGATGCTATCCCTTCAGGCGGAAGCTCTGAGTAAAGGCTACATGAACGAGGGAGCAGCTTCCCAGGCAGGACCTGGTGACACCGCTCTCAGCGCTTTGCAGAATCTTCAACCATGGGCGGGTCCTTATAATGGTCCCCAGCCAGGCCTAGCGGAATCCATTTGTTAGGAATTCTTCGAAAGAAACTCGTGCAATATTAAAGCTGTTCGCAAAAAGCCCAGAAATTTCAGAAGAGATGAATACTGAAAGACAAAGTTTTGATATATGATGGAATCGGCCGATACTTGATGAAAATCCATAACTAACGTATTCCAAAAATACTTTATTGTGAGATTTTCACTAAATTGTTTTACAAAAACGCAACACGTGTTTCGCCATACAATGGCTTCATCTGGCGTGTCTTTCAACTTAGCCATTGTATGGCGAAACACGTGTTGCGTTTTTGTAAAACAATTTAGTGAAAATCTCACAATGAAGTGTTTTTGGAATACGTTACAAAGTTTTGATTTAGATCGTGTCTTACATCAATTTGATGTCGTTTGACATTTGAGAAAATGCATTTGTATTTCAAAAATGGTGAAAGTTACAGAAAGTATGAATCTTGAAAATTTATATTTTCAACAAATTCAGTTTTTCAACACTTTACATTTAGAGATATACAGAAAATAAGGAAAATTTATTTCGCTTCTTTATTTATATTTGCTTCAATTGAATAGATCAGGGACCTCACAAAATTCTTAGTTATCCGACGATATCGAATATTTTGAAAATTCAGAAGATATGTAGGTATATTATTTTGGACAATCGAAGTCCGTACTGATGAAATACAGCACGAAACATTGTCAATCACCTTCAAACAAAAGTCAGTGGCGTTATTCGGGGAGTGTCTAGTGAATGAGCACCTGAGAAATTTTGACATCCCAGTATTTTGAAGTAAATATCTCATAGTTTACAAATAAAAATTATTTACATTTCAATAAGCAATTCAATATTAAATTCTACAAAAAGGATTTGAAGCTTTATATCTTCTATAAATTATCTGAGAGCGCTTTCTAAAGTTGGTAGTACTGTCATCTTCTAAGCACCCTTCTAGGCATAATAAGCATATCATCTCTTTGATTCTTCATTGAGTGATTGAGTTCATTATGAAGTTGTAAATAATAGTTACGCAGTAAATAACCTATGGACGTCTCAATTTCACCGGAGTTGAACATAAACTATTTGAATAATGAAAAAATAATATCATCCAACAGATAACTGATTTGTGTTGCCGCTGCTTTTTAAATTTTTCAAATCATCTGAATATTTTTCTGCTTGCTGTTGTTGAAAATAAACACCGAAAATACGATCAACCAGAAGCTATCATAGGGTGTTGAAGTAGACATTTTCAAAGCTACTAATGACATCTAAAAAAAATATTTTGTATGAAAATATCCGTGTATTCATCTTACGTAGAACATTGAAAAGGAAACTTGTGTTATTTATGCATTTTTTCGAGGTTTATCCAAACTGCCAACTAACTAAATCGGTTTCTGCTCGCCTGCTATGGTTCTGTGGCATTTCTTTAGTCAAGAGGCCGATTATTGATGAGACCATACAAGTTGTTGAATGAACACTCGTTGTAGCCTACTTTTCATCAACTGGAAAAAATATTCACATGATTATGATTTTCAGTAAAAAGTGAAAACACACCTAAACGTTGACGTTGGAATTATTGACACAATCAGAATATCTAGCTATTCATTCATGAAATTATGACCTGAATACAATAATATTACTACAACAAGATGTCTCTGAAACACATATTTTCTAAATTACCAAAATAATCAACCCTTTGGCTTTGAAACCAAAACAAGCACTTTTCCCAAATACCAGAAATGCAATACTCTTTTCGACGCACGTTTGACCAATAAGGTTGGCGTCTTCATCTGCATATTTTGTATTAATTCTTCACCAGAGGTTCTCGTTTTACCTTTTGTGTCTCTGAAATGTGATAAAGATACATTTCCCTGTTTCAAAAAGTACTATTAGGGTAATCTCAAAGATTCACCTTTTGGATGTTCCCACACCGCTTTGAAAGTTCCACCGTCAGTGGAAAAGTTTTTGAAAATCTATTCAATTGATGCCAGATGAAATAATGAATTTATATTTTTTTCCAGTTGAATATCTCTGAAACTGGGGCTAGCTCAGATTTTTTATTGTAATAATGGGCACTATTCCTAGTCCAGTCATTTTAGGGGGTTTGCCTAGGAAAGTGGACATACCCAACTGTAAATTTGTATAAACTTTGTATTTTGGCATCATAAAAGTATTCTCAAAATCCACATATGATTTGCCGTCCGTAACTTCAAAAATTGGGGGTCAAAAGTTAAAAAAAACTACTTTCTGGACGTTTTTTGCCAATATCTCGTTTTCAATGGGTTTTATGTTGATTGTATATGTTATCAATATTTTAGAGAATTAAATGCTCTACAACTTTTGTTCCAAACATTTTTTCATACGTTGAATAATTTTTGAGATAGAGGGCAGCGCGAGGGCAAATTAAATATTATGTGAAGTCAACTGGTTGTCCCGATCGAAATCAGCTCATTTAAGGTTTATAAATTGATCGGGACAACCAGTTGATTTCAAATAATATTTTTATTGAGAAATCTCATTTGATACATTTGTGAATGTCAAAATTAAAGAAACAGATAAAATTAATCAAAAGAATAATGAGTTTTAATTTCAATTTTCTTCTTCTTCATCGTCGTCGTCTTCTCGCAGCTGTAAAAATTCAAGGCCCTTATCATCTTCATTGTCATCTTCACCCAGATCTTCGTTAACATCGGTCTCATATGGTACAGCATTGAGACAAGCTTGCCCATTACATTGGCCACAAGCTAAAGAGCATTGCAACCCCGTTTTCCTGCATCCACATCTTGAACCACAACCACTTTTGCAGTTACAGAAATGGTCATGATAGGTTCTAGCAATCCGTTACGCATTGGCCAACCCCATTCCTGGGGTTTCCAATCATGTCCTAACCAAGTTTGAACTTGGTAATAAACACGATTGAAATGTTGGTGAGTTGCTACACTTGTTGGTGGGATATTTGATAACTGCACAGGTTTATTGAGCTTTGTTAGCTTAACATATTGTGCATAACGAAGATGATCGATAGTATCTACAGACTTTGGAGCATTATAAACAGCTAATAAAGTTTGCAATCCACTATCAAATAATCTTTGAACCGGGCCATTTTTATTCTTCAAATGCTGCGGGAAGTTCATCCAAATTAGATAGTTTCTCGAATGGTTTTAAAAACTTTTTTCTTTTTTTAAAGAACGTAGAAGTCGTATCATAGCCGCTTATAGTGTGAAGGAACAAAATGTGTTTTTAAGAATTCGAATATTTGTCGAAACTCTTAGAGGAGAATATTTCCGTTTTCACATTTGCTTTGCCAACTTTTTTAAAGAAAATTTCTAGTGTACGCCAACTGAAATCACAAGTAAATCAATATCCTCACCGACTATAATTGCTGTTCTTTGACGTTTAAATTCTTCAATAGCTGTCTCAATAATGAGAACATCCGTATCATCTCTGGCCTGTTTAGTGTTGATGTATTTGTTAAAAAAAACGAAAATTATTTATAATTATTTATTAAGTAATAATTTATAAACCTCAAATGAGCTGATTTGGATCGGGACAACCAGTTGATTTCAAATAATATTTAATCGGTTGTAGAGAATTCAATTCTCTACAATATTGATAATGAATACAATTAGCATAAAACCCATTGGAAACGAGATATTGGCAAAAGACGTGCAAAAAGTCGTTTTTTTTTACTATGACCCCCATTTTTTGAAGTTGCGGCCGTCGAATCATATGTGTATTTTGAGAATACTTTTGTGATGCCAAAATACAAAGTTTATACAAATTTACAGCTGTCACCTGTCGACCTGAAATGACTGGACAATCCACCCTATCTGTAACTTTCACCATTTTTAAGATCCAATGCGTATTCCGAATTTCACTCGAGATGTTAATTTCTGAACAAAAACGAATCAAATATTATTTATTCTCTCTTGATGCGTTCAAATTCGGCAGCAGAACCTTCAATCGCTTAGCGTACTATTAAATTATTTATTTTCCCGTCCTGGTGTTTTTTTCTGAGAAAAAATATTTCGCCAGAGCTAAGATCTCTTGTAAATAGTCCCTAATATAGAATCATGTGAGATATGTCTTTGACATTCGTGTACAGATAGACACTTGGTTTCGCCAGTGAACAACTGAACGTTCGTGATGCGTTCCAGATTCGTATATTCGATGAAAAATGTATGTAATTTTTCTGAAGTAATTACGAAGAGTAGTGTGATTTATGTATTATAAATGCTCTAATTGTAGATAATGTGAGTTATTACTGTAAGCACTAGAAATATGACATTAAAATAATAAAAAGATATCACAATATCACTTTGTTTCATTACAGGCGAGGTCGTGTCGTGCAAAATCTATTCCATGGAGCACAACTCAATAACATTCATTTCAGAGGGTGTTCCAAGACGTAATTATATTGTTTTCTAATAGAACGTTCACGACGATAATTGCAGACTGTTCGCTGTTCTATTGTTTGTTATTCTATTCACTTTTGTAAGGTTTCACTCTTGTGGAGTCAAATTTTTTAATGATTTTAATTATCTGTAGACATCAGGAAAAATTAGCTCGAAAATTACGAATTCAAATCGGTGAAAAATTGACATACATCTTTGAAAGTAATTAACAATATTTCTTGTTGAGTTTTCTAAATTCAAACTTCCTTTGTCTGTGAGTCTAAAAGTGGAAATATGAGAAGTAAACAACGAGTATATGGAAGAAAAATATGATGAAGGGGAAATGTAAAATATCAATAACATGAGGAATTTTAATTCAATCACAAACTTGAAACATATTCCAAAATATTAGATGCAATCTAGCAATTGCAGATGCAGACCACCTCTAGCGCCTTCAAGATACTTCAGGCCTTCGAGGCTTTTAGGCAGTTTATTACAAAAAAAAAAGCCTAGTGGTCGAGCTAGATGACCACTAATAAGTATGTCTAGAATTGAACACCCCTAAAGTTCTTCCTACCGAAACAACTTTTTCCTAAGGGGAGAGTTGTTATATGCCCATTGATGACCTCCATAATTCATTCCCAAGGTGACCTTCTAAAGTTCAAGCTGAGCAGGTTCACAATTCCACACTTACACCATTCCAGGAGATAGCCAGAGATGCCA